GCTCGTTAAATCGGTTGGATCGCGTGCGCTCTGGGCACTCCCCGACTTCAGTGGGAATAACTCAGTGGTGCAAGATGTCGTCAGGATGCCGCGTAAAGTGGCGGAGGCGGGCTTCTACAACCCCACGCCAGTTGTGAATGACAGTAGGATCTATCTTCTTTTCCAGTGTGAGGGGAATTCTGCGAGGGATGGGGAAGATGCCGTTCCGATGTGCCCCTGGCTCCTTGTTGGAAAAATTGAGGAAAAGAAGGAAGGCCAGGAAACGAAAACCATCCTTTGGAAGGGTCGCACCGTTAAGTCTGGGCTCAGTCCAACGCTGGAGGAGAAATCGTTTCAGTTTTTTTCTTTTGGCGGAGGTGCGGGGATTGTGACGAAGAACGGTACACTTGTACTTCCTGCAAAGGCAGTGACGAAGGAGGGCAAGGAGGTCTCGCTGATCATGTACTCCAGTGATCCGGAGGAGGGTTGGAGGCTGTCGCAGGGGATGACAGCTGGGGACTGCGTGGATCCTGCCGTTGTGGAATGGGGGAGCGGGAGACTTTTGATGATGACTGCGTGTGAGGAGGGTCACCGCAAGGTGTACGAGTCGAGCGATATGGGGAAGACGTGGACGGAGGCGCTCGGGACACTCTCGCGCGTGTGGGGCAACTCACTTGAGCGTGAGGGATCTGGCGGTCAAAGTGGCTTCATCACCGCGACGATTGAAGAAAGGAACGTGATGCTCCTCACCCTGCCGGTGACTTTGAAAGACAACTTAACCGATCAACTACATCTTTGGCTCACTGACGCCGCCCACATTGTGGATGTTGGGCCGATATCCAACGCAAGTAAGCATGTCGCCGGCAGTGCCCTGCTGCTCAAGGGCGGGAAAGAGTTGATCTCCTTGCAGGAGCTCCGTTCTCGGGAAAGGGATGGTGTGGGGATGTCTGAGGGCCTTTACCTTGCGAACCTGACGGAGCAGCTGGAGCAGATAAAGAAAGTGGTGAAAACATGGAAAGATGTGGATGAACGTGTCAAGCAGGTGTGCCTTTCGACAGGGGTCCATGCGGCTGCCTCTCTTGGCGCGGGCTGCAGCGCCCCGGTGCCTACTGAAGGGCTGGTTGGGTATTTGGCCGGCTCTTTTGCAGGCGATCAATGGAAGGACGAGTACCTTGGGGTGAACGCCACAGTGCAGGGCGCAGCGGAGCGGGTTGGGCACGGTGTGAAGTTCAGCGGAGGTGCCTCGGGGGCAAAGTGGCCAGTGAGCGAACAGGGGCAGCACCAACGCTATCACTTTGCGAGCCGTAACTTCACTCTTGTGGCGACGGTGACCATCGGCGAGGTTCCGACGCGCGGCCGAAGCATTCCTCTGATGGGTGCGAGGCTGGGCGGCGAGGGTGAAGAGAGAACCCTGCTGGGAATTTCGTACACCGGGAACAGATGGGAGGTGGCGTTCAACGGCACGAAGGAGGCAGTGCAAGAGACGTATTGGAAACCCAACACACCGTACCAGGTGACACTCATGCTGCAGGACGGCAACAAGGGCTACGTGTACGTTGATGGGGTGCCACTTGCGACGGCCGAAACGAGTTCAACAACTGCGGCGGAGCTAGGCGAAGTCTCCCACTTCTATTTTGGCGGGAACGGGGACGGCGAGGAGGGCACAGACAGTGGTGAGCGCCGGCTGACTGTGGCAAACGTCCTTCTTTACAACCGCCTACTGCGTCCAGGAGAACTGCGAGGCCGTCTTTCTGAGGAATCGGAGGCCGGGTGGGATCGCGCGTCTTCGAAATCCGGTGGGGACTTTTTTGACGATGTTAAGAACGTTTTTTACGGGGTGATGAGGCGCAGCAACGGCGGTGACGGCTCTGCGTTCGAGAATGCGTCTCTGATGCTAATGCTTCTGCTTGTGTTGTGGGGCTATTTGGCTCTTTGCTGAGCCGAACGAAGAGCATGGGCGAGTCGCTGCTGCCGCTGATTGAACACATGAGCCGCCCAAGTAATTCTTTGCGTACCCGTGCGGCCCATTTTTTCTATCCTTCTTTCTGTGAATATGTGTGTTGTTGTTTTTTGCCTTTGGGCCGCACCTTTTTGTTTGCTGTTTTTCATATTTTTTTTCGTTTTGTTTTTGTCTTTTCCCCTGCTAATGGTCGTCTTGCTGCGCTCAGTCTCCGCACGGAGAAATGGACCTCCCCTCATGCCTCTATGCCGCTCCCACCCTCAGCCGTGTGGCTCTGCGTGCCCACCGGTTACGTACGTGGAAGGGACAGCGAAGCCGGGCAGCACGCGGCCGGGCCGAGTGGGATATAAACGGGGCGTGGGCGAGAGGAGGGCCCGATTGAGACGAAACGATCATATCTTTTTTCTGCAGGTGAAATATGCACTCAGCTTTGGGAAGCCACGCACCGCCACACGACACGCAGCGGCTTCTTTAATTCTTTTTGTTTGAGAGAAAAAAAGTAGGTGGAGAACGGAATGTGTTTTGTTTCTTTCTTCTTGGGAGATCTGTGGGCCATTTGTGCATAGTGGAGGACGTTTTTTTCTTTTCTTTCTTTCCTTTATTATTATTATTATTTAACTCATTTCATCATGTTTTTTTTCGTGGCGTGCCGCTGCTTGGACGGCGGCGCCATCACGAGCTCCGTCAGTCTTCTTCCTTCGTACTGTCCTGCAGGGCTGCCGTGCGCCTGGGCGTGCTCGCATGCCTTTTTGTTTTTCCCCTTTCAGTTGCG